AGGAGGTCCCTACACTACAAAAATTTATTTATGCCAGACTCTTTCCTTTACTTAAACCATACCCAGACTACTCCTCTTAAATAATTCCAGATACTCTCCCAAATTCTCTTGGTGAATCAGTGTATATTGACCCTTACCATTAGGAAGATTTTCTTTCTACCTAACTTGAATTCTTCCTGCTATTGTCATTTGTGAAGATCAATTTTTACCTGTTCATTTTTGAGAATTGTGGTGTATTTTCCAAAGTTTTCATATCCTCCTAGATTGTGGAAATTGGTTCTTATTGTAGTATTTATATTACACTTTAGTGATGGTCACTTATATGCCCAAAGTCCTCAACAACAACAAAACTTTAAAAATGTTAAAATTCTTCAGAACTCCAAAAGTGAGTAACTAATATAAAAGGTAAAATCATTCTGTAGTGTATGATGAGCTCTTTTTTGACTTTCTTTTATAGAAAATTATCCCTTTTATGTATTTCTTTTCTTTTNTGAGCTCTTTTTTGACTTTCTTTTATAGAAAATTATCCCTTTTATGTATTTCTTTTCTTTTATTTTTTTTCCTTTTTGTCTTTTATACTGACCGGTAACAGGATCGCAACCCTCGGTGTTGCGCCCGCACCGCGCTCAGCCAGTGAGCGGGAACCGGTCTCCACATGGGATCCGAACCCTCGGCGGGAGCGCCGCCGCGCTCCCAAGTGGCGCACTCTCCAGTGCACCACCGGGCCGGCCCCCTTTTATGTATTTCTAATGTTAAACATAATTACTATAATAAAGCCCTTAGTGGGTTGAACATTTGAATGAAACATGGCTGTGTTGATTTCATGGCAGATCCAGTGAACCGAAGGAGTGATCAGTTTTTGGTTTTGTAAACCCACCCAGTTGGTATCTAGCAGTGAAGATGTGTGTAGCAGATATAAGCTGAATAAAAGTGGATCACAGCACAAATTCATTTCAACCACTTATCCCTAATATTTGTACAGAACCTTAAAGTTTACAAAGTGTGTCCACATATGCTATTTGATTTGATCTTCACAAAATCCTGGGAAGTGTAGGGTAGACATTTCTCTCTCAGTTTTCCAGATGAAGAATGGAAGCCCATAGTGGAGGCAAAGGGTCAAGTCAAAGACTTGTAAGGGTCAAAGCCTCAAACAGGTTTCATGCTCCTGCCACTCACCTCTGGGAAACTGTGCACAATCCCTGCTTTACTGTTAGTGAATCACTCTGTGGAATCACACTTTCACTTTGGGAAGAGTGCTGTGTTGACATTTTATGGGAGTACACCAGGACGATAGAGATGGTCATTTTTATGTTCTACTTTCAGGTACCGCCGAAGAGCACATGTGACTCCTAAATCTTATCTCTCATTTATAAATGGTTATAAAAACATTTATACTGAAAAGGTGAAATACATTAATGAACAAGCTGATCGTATGAATATTGGTAAGAGGAATGGAGTCTTATCTTCTTAGAGTTTATTTGATAGTGATCCCAATATTTTGTTTGATGGATATTGTGTTTAAAAACAAAATGCTAACTTTATTTTTAGTAGTGGATAATTTTAAGGGGTGCCCTTAGGAGTCTATTGACCTGTCAAAAACTCTGGGCAGAAGTAAATCTAAACAGAGGTGGCTCATTTCTTCTCTAGAACCAGCTCTTTCAACCCCGGGTCCATGGGTTTGGGCAGTGAGTTACCATGATCATTGATCCACTGCTTGCAGACAGGGAAAAGCCAGCTCTTGGAAACTGACTACAATTTCAGTTTTTGGTTTTATTATTATTGGCCTTTATTTGTATAAACTTTGCCAAGTGAATGCTTTCTAAACAGGCTAATCCTTTTCTAAAGGAAAAGGCAAAACAGAAACAAAAACAAAAAGAGAGAGTTTGTCTGAGTGATGGTTTTCTGAGTGCCTAGTGTATGTAGCGTAAAAAGGAAAAGTATACATTGGAACAGATTATATATCCAGAAATCATGTGGCCCAGACAATCCCAAACATCTTAGTTCTTGCTTTTCATTTCCCCAAAACGAAAAATTGGTCATAAAGCAAAACTGTGCTTCAAGGTCTGTGAAGTTATAGTAATGACAGAAACATTGTGAAACAAACCTTCTTCTGTGGTTTTTCTTATGACTTACCTTTTCTGTATGATGCTCTTAGAATCACTGGTGTGCTAGAGTTAACTAGTACTGGCTTGGGAGAGCCAATTGTTGTTAAATGTATAGCCTTTATTAAAAATTATATCATATATACTTACAANGAGAGCCAATTGTTGTTAAATGTATAGCCTTTATTAAAAATTATATCATATATACTTACAATTAAATAAATTATATTAAAATTAAAGACAACAAATACTCAAAACTCATTACTTCTTAGTTATTTTTACTCTATTTTACTATTGTTAATGTTCTTGAGGTCATTTATTTCTGTTCTCTCTGTATGGTGGAAATATTATATAATGGTGTGCTGCTGAGAATCTCATAAAAGATTGAAAACAGCTGGGGTGGGAGTATTTACACCACAGAAATTGGAAAACACACAAATGAGGCTTCTTCTCCCTCCACAGATCCAAATGCTAAACATTTACCAAAACACCACTATCTAGAACCCAGATGAAATGTGAGAAATTTGGTTAACCAGTTATTTTGCTCTAGAATACTGAAAGTCACAGAGACAGTTATATAAATTTTAGCAGTTATTTTCA